CAGAGCTTAGTCATCCCAACTGAGGTTGACCAGATAGCCCCCAGCTCATGTACCAGCTGATTACAGACACAGAGTGAACCCAGCTCAGATCAACCAAACCTGACGTTGACCAGCAGAGCAACCAAGCTTACTCATGTCCCAGTGAGAAGTAATCAATGACTGATCTTTCATATCACAAAGTCTTGGCGATGATTGGCCTTTGCTCTTTCAAGCCAGGCCAATGCTGGATGATAATGACTGGGTTCTAACCACGCTAAGAGGGACAACTTGGGGTCTGATACTGACCAAGCTTTGGGAAGCACAATGACCATGTGATGAAGCTGATAAGAGCCCTGAACATGGACGCTCAGAGAGGCTTTGTGGTTGGTGGCCATGCACAGCAGAGGATGGTGGTCCTCCTGGGGACACAGGATCTCTATGCTGTAACTTGGCAACCTCCTCTACCCCAAGACCTGTGGCTCTTTGCTTGTATCCTTTGTTGTTGTTAGGATAAAGTTGTAGCTATAGACTCTGTAAGAGCCTGTGAGTGGTTTCCTTAAATTAATAAACCCATAGCAGTGAGAATTAGCAGGCGACACTCTTGATCATTTGGTGGTCAAAAGAATGTGAGCTCTGATCTTGGTCTGGGTGACTTCTTGTTGCTGTTATGTGCTGTTGAGTCGCTTGCTACTCATAGTGACTCTTTATACAACAACCCTAAACCCTGCTCAATCCTGAGCTAACCTCATCGTCTCTGACACACCCACCCCGATTACCCCACTCACTGAATCAATCCATCTCACTGAGGGTCTTCCCCTCCTCCACCCTCCCAAGCATGACGTCCCTCTCCAAGGACTGGTCTCTCCTTACAACATGTCCAAAGTATTTCAGACAAAGCTTTAGAATCCTTGCCTCCAAGGAACAACCTGGTTTCACCATCTCTAGAACGAGCCTGTTTGTGCTCCTAGCTGTCCATGGTATATCAGTGGTTTTCTCCAGCATCACAGCTCAAAGGCATCAATTCTTCTTATCAGCTCTAGCGATTGTCTAGCTTTCTGATGCATAGCATCTGGATGATGAGGGCCTGAGAAATGCCGTGCGATTCAGCTGGTCTGAAAACCAGTGTCCCTCTAACACCTAAGCTCTGACCCAGCTCTGCATGGCTACAATTGGAGAGAGATTGTACTCCGTAAGTGGCTGGTGATTGACACTGGAGAAGTTAGAGGGTGAGGGCTGGATCCATCCCCGTGCAAAAGAGTGAATCCATGCTGATTATTGCCACATAGCAATGGAGGTGGGATGGATGCAACAGTTAAGCTACCACCTAATAGCAAGGAGTCCTGCTTTTGGAAGCAGGGGTGGCATCCACTTCCTAAACAACATGCCTCTGAAAACTCTATGAATAAATGCCGATAGTTGTAGAGGGGCTTCAGGCTTTTCGTTCATAGGGTCACTAAGAGTCATGCTCAACTAGATGGTAATCAACAATAACAAGTCAAGGTAAAGTCAGTTCTAGGCAGAGAGAAGGAACAGGTAAGAGCAAAGACCCCAAGAAAGGAATGGGCTTCCACAGCTGTAGGAGCAGATGAACAATGGATGTGACATAAAGGGGTGACAGGAAACTGAGCTTTGAGACAAAGCCAGAGGGGGTGAGAGAGGTTGTGCCTTGTGCAGCCAATAAAGGTTTGGGTTTTCCAGGAGTTCCCAGACTTAAAGACTTAAGGTCAAATTCTCAGTCTGTGAAATACTTCCCACCCCTTCACAAGATTTTTGAAGCCGTAAATCTTGATAGGAGGAAACTTAATTTTTCTCCCATGGAGCACCTGGAGGATTTGAACTGCTGACCTTTTAGTTATTAGACCAAAACACTATGCATTGTCACCAAGGCTCCTGTGGACAACTCCTACTTGCTCTTGAATTTTATGGAAATTTCCCCTCACTTCGTTTTCTTTTTTAAAGTTGATTCATTATTGCACATTTTCCTCCCTCTTCCTTCTCCCTCCCCCAGCCCACTTTGCAATGCAGCTCTTATCGCAGATTGTTGTCATACATATAATGCCTAATCATATATTCCTTTCAGACAGTTCTTCCCCTCATCTGTTCAAATGCACTGTTCATTATCTATCCACTCTTTTCTCATTCTCCCCCTAACCCGCCATGTCAGTCCTCAGTTTGAATCAATTGAACCAAGCCCTACTTACCACAAATTATCCAATCACAATCACCTCCGCTGCTGCATGTACAGCTTTTGGAAAGGTTTTGAGCCATTTCTTGCACCAAAATGAGGCTAAAATGCAGACCATATGCACCTGTTTCAATTTGCCTACAAATTAGGAACCAACTTCCATTGTTAGACAGTTAGGAAAGGATCTCCTTTGTAACCTGGGGACTGGCTGGATCCGTTTAATGATGCGAAGGCATTGGAGATTCTGAGTTGATTAGCACCATGAAATGATCTATGTTTAAGAGGATCACCATGATTGGGGAGAGGGGACTGGACACCATGGGGGGTGGTGGCATAAAGGCAATCTGCGGTCCCAACAGGAGGCTGAGGTAGGAATCTTCCAACAGAGAGGCAGCTTTGTCCAGGGTGGTAGCCATACAGGATAGGAATGACTGAATTCAGGATGTTTCAGGAACAAGGTGAACACGATTTTCTGTTCCATTGGGTGGAGATGGATGAGAAGGATTAATGAGAATAGCTAAGTATTTGACCCGAGCAGCTCGGTTGATGATTGTCTTGTTTCCTGAGAGATGATGCCTGAGAAAGAGCATCGTTTGACAGGGAAAAGGAAAGGAGACGTGAAAAGTTGGGGTTTGGGCACATGAAATTGGAGATACATGTCAGAAACCTCACAGAGGTGGTTGAGATACACTGTAGGATTCCAAAGAAGAGCTATGAAGAGACAGAGATTTAGGAGTCAATGTGGGAATGTACTGAATTGACCATTCACATCCTGACTTGGATGGGAATGCTGTGACCGTATAGAACAGAGCCACTTCCTAACCCCCGGTCAGGCGTGTATAGGGTCTGAAGTTGTAGGGATGGGCCTGATCCTCCAGGATATCTTCATGGCTTCGAAGAAACATGCAAAGAAAACCCCTCTGATTCGTGGTGACCCATGTGTGCAGGATAGAACTGGGGTCCATATTTTCAACGGCTGTGACCTTGCAGAGGCTTATCACCTTTTGCTATGTAAGGTCATATGGTCACTATTTTGGGGGTTCAGGATGTGGACACCTTTGACACATTTTTTTCTGCCTTCCACAGTGATTTGCCAAACTCTCTTCTTCTACCCTGAAAAGCTCATGTTTTGGGGGGAATAGCTAAAAGGTGAAGATTTTAAAACTCATTGCCAGCTGAGTCAGAACCAACTCAAAGCTGGGCATCTCTAGTGGGCTTTCAGAGGCTGTAAACTGCACAGGAAGAGACAGCCCAGCTCTCTCCTGAATAGCAGCTGGATTTAAACAGTCTGCCTTTGGGTTAGCAGAACAACTCCTTATCCACTAGGCCACCAGAGGGGAAGAAGACTGCCCAACCTGCCCTGGGCTTTTCACCAGCCTGAAAGAAACCTTTATTTGTTAAGCTATTAAGACTCCGGGTTTATATGTTACTGCGATGTCGCCATCTCTTCCAGATGAATACAACTTTCTCTAGGCACTCTCTTGGTGACTTTTTAAGTCTTGGAGAGGCTGATTCCACTCATCCCCAGGAACTCTCTAATCTTCACGTAGAACTAATTGGTGAGTGCTACGCAGAATCTTCTGGTGATTGAGACATGGAAAAACTCAAGCCCTAAGTTAGCATGATATTGGTGGATGCTGGCCTTGGCCGTGTAACAACTTGCTTTGCCTCCTGGAGTGAGCAATGAATCATTCACTGTCCCTTTAAGCTGGACAAACACCTGTAGAAGAGGCCTGAGCCCAGCCCAGTCCCAGAGACCAGCCTATGGACCTGTATTCTGAAGCTGAGCTCTGACACCTTACAGCAATGGAACCACAGTTCCCCTGACTTCTGGCTTCTTAAAGCTGCTATAACAGAAAACCGTAAGTGGGTGGCTTTAGTGAGCCCACATTTATCAACATACAAGAGGCTTTTAGGTACTGTGAAGTTGGAATGAACACACACAGGAGATAACAATTCCTTCTGCCACAGAGCAGCTGGTGGATTTGAACTGTGTGCCTTTGGGTTGGCAGCACAACTCCTTAACCACTAGCCTATCACAACTCCTCAGAAGTCCCGATTCTAAGGTAAAGGATTATCTTTGCTCTGGGGGGGCGGGGGGGGGGAATCTTTTCTTCATTTGTTTTTATTACCCAGATCCCCGGTGGTCTATGTATGCATCTATATTTCCCTAGTTTATGCTTGCTTGCTTCTGTCCCTAAACTGATCTTTTATATTTCAAAAGTGATCAGGATTAAGACACTCTACATTGATAGGATCTCAGCAATATGAAGAAAACTCTATTCTCAAATGGTGGTAACACAGGGGTAGGGAGTAAAGATTACAACACATGTTTGAGAAGGGCATATGCAGTGTGCAACACTTAGGGTGAATAATTATAAATGTTTGCTGGGTGATGTTGAGATTTGGGTTGGTTGGTTAGGCAGCTTTTTTTGGGGTGACAGCTGACTATTACAAGGAGGCCCAGAGGACACACGGATTTCCTGAGGGTCTCTGGCCACGCCCCAAACCTGGTTGCCAGCATGAAATGCCGTAATAAGCCCTGGCCTTCACCTCCTTCCAAGAAGGGCAGTATTTTCCACCTCCTCTGCTCCACCCTGTCCCAGACCACAGAGAGTGGCCCCACCTCCCACTGTTCAAATAAACCCATGAAGACCACAGAGCCACATGCAGAGGTGGGGAAAATTGTTCTGTTTGTTTTAATTAAACCGACTGAAGGAGCCAATTCACAGACAGAAAGAGACTAAGAACAAGACTTGGAAATCGTTTAGAAAAGAAATGAAAACCGACCGCGGGACTGTCAGTGCCGATGGAGTGATGGTGGGGCCGCTGGCCTTCACGTCAGCTCCAGGACCACTGTTAGGGCGAGCACCAAGGTGAGCCGGACGCCAGCAGGGCCAGATGTGGAACCTGTGTGGGGCGCAGGAAGGCAGCATCAGCCCTGAGGCCCCCTGGCTTCCCTCTTCCCGGGTACGGGGGAGGGGAGTGAAGCACATTCCAAGGGCCCACAACCAAAAGTCTGGGCTTCAGCTTCAGGCTAACCTGGGTTATTAGCTGGTGACCTTGGACAAGACCCTTAATTGCAACACCAGCCATGGTTCATTGAGTATATTATGGGCCTGGGGTTGTTCTAAATGTTCATTTACTCCTCACAAGGCCTGGGGCAGGTATTATTGTTACTCCCACTTTACAGATGAGGAAACTGAGGCATGGAGAGGGTAAGTGATTTACCCTGGGACTCAGCACACAGGACTGAGGTTGGAGGGCCTGTTTCTGACCTGTGTTCTCACTACCTTGTTAAATCTCTGTGAACCACACACTTCCCTCATCTGTGAAATGGGAATAATAGTGATTTCTCCCCTGAGTGGTTTTAAGAATGAGAAATACTTTTTGCGAAAATCCTTCTGGCTTCAAGATGCTTCATTTCTGCTTGTCCTGGCCTCGCTTTACCTGCCAATCAGCTGATTCCTTTCTGCTCTAACAGCAGAACACCCGACCACGGCTTTGCACAAGGACACTCTTACCCAAATGCTCTGAGACCCCAGGCTCTAGCTTCTCCCCACAGCTCCCCTCCCAGGCAGAGTCTTCTCGTCTCTGGATCCTACCTGTCCCATCCCCTTTCCTGGCCCAGGCGTTATAGCCCAGGGAGGCTTCCTGGTGGCCAACCTCCAGGGATACCCCGAGTAGAAGCCTTTGTTGTGAGCTGTGAGTAGGGGTCAGTGTGGAGGAGTGGGGTATGCTGGGAGCAGTGTTCAGGTCTGCAGGAGGTTGCTTAAATGTGTGTGAGAGGGTGGCCTACAGGGTTCCCACAGCCAGACTAGCTGGATGTGTCTTCGGGTGAGGGCAGCAGAGCTTTCAAAAGATACCTGGCGTCACCATAGATGGTGGAGGCACATTCAGTTTCTGGAAGTGTTACTGGCTGCTTTGAGAGATAAAGTGGTGAGGGCCCCTTCAGTGCCCCTGTGGCCCCTCTAGGCCTGTATGTCCTCTTAAAGAGTCAGATTCTGCCTAGCAAGAGGTCAGTTGGCTGCTGTAGGTGTGAAGGAGCAGGGGGCAAATGTATACAAATGGTCATTTAGGGAGCTAAGCATTCTGGGACCTTGGCAACCACTCACTTTTGTGCAAGAAGCCCCGTGGGTAGAAACTTACCATTGGAATCCTCCATTCCTCTTGGGATATTTGGGTTTTCTGTTGAAAAGACATGAAAAGAGAATTAGAGAGGGGATGGCAATGAGAAGCTAACCAGTGCCCAGCATCTGCTGTGTGGTGTCTCAGGGCATTCTCACAATGCACCATGGGCTGGGGGCTAGCAGTCCATTTTACAGATGGGGAAGCTGAGGGAGGTCAAGCAATTTGCCCCAAATCGCTTAGCTGTCAAATGGCAGAGCTGGGATCCAAGTCGTGAGGTCTCTGCTCCAAAACTATCACCGCTTTATTCACTGTGCCCCAGGTGGGGGTGGGGGCTCTTTAAAGGGGAACCCGAGGGAGCTTCTCCCCTCTCTTTGTACCAAACACGATGAGCCGAGTGTGCGTGTCCGTGGAGCCCAGTGGGTTCTGGGCGGTGCAGCGGTACATGGAGCCGTTGAGCTCGGCGGGGACCCGCTCCAGCACCAGCTCCTTCCCGTCGAACTCGGTGCTGCCGTCCAGGAGGCGGCTCCCAACCCGCGTCCACGTGAACATGGGCTCTGGGAAGACTTCGTTCTGCAGGTCAGAGCAAGAGAGACTCAGAGACCCCGCCCGCCGGGACTAATAGAAGTTCTCTGCCAGGGCCCAGGACAGGAGTCTAAGGCTGAAAGTCTAGGCTCTCAGATCCATTAGCCCGAATGCTGAAGTGCTTCTTCCTAAGACAGGCCTGGCAATCTGCCTCTGAAAAGACACAATTTCAAAAACTCTACAGAGCAGGGTGACCATGAGCTAGAATTGACTTGATGGCTATGGACAAGGACAATAGCCCTGAACACTGGGGGTGGAGGTGGAAGAACAAATGTATTTTTAACCCATTCTTCCGTGAAGCCAGCTCTTCCATTTCACAGATCTGGAGACTGAGGCCTGCTGGCTGTGTGGAAGGATCAAGGGAAGAGCGCTAGGGAGGGCTACCAATGGTTGATGGTCCTTGGCCAGGGCTTCTCCCACCTCCCACCACCCTCCCAGATGCTCACAGAGAGAGCTGACCTGAAACCCGTGGACCAGAATCCTCACTGTGTCCCCGACCCGGGCTCTGCTGGGTGTCATCACAATTTGGGGTCCTTTGGGAGCAACTAGAGAGAAAGGAGGGTCAAGTTAGGGAAGTCTATGTATGTACGTGTGCACAGGGTGTGTTGAACAAGGAGAGATGAGGAAATGGAAGGGAAATTTCCAGTCCAGCAGTCAGCCTCCTTCTGGCTGCTCAACATATTTCATTCATTCATGCTGCATTCATTCACACACCTCCCCCAAGGAGGCAGACCTCATCTGGTGCCCCGGATGCAGCAGTGTGGCATCCCTGCACCCGTGGAGGTCACACACGAGAGAAGGGGAAGCACAGCTCAGGGTAACAAGGGATGAGCTGAGAGAAGCTCAGTGGATGGTGAGGTCAGGGATGGAAGCTCATCCGAAGGAGGCGCTGCCTGAGCGATGGCTCATGGGGAGAAGCCAGGGCAGCAAGTAGCTCAAGCTCCCACCTGCATGAAACCCTTGAAAGGCAGCAGTTCTGCAGTTCCCGTCCTCATTGCACAGTTGAATTAAGAGGCACAGAGGGGTGAAGTCATTTGCCAAAATCACACAGTGAGGAAGAGCGGGAACAAAATTCAAGTTCCCTGACTTCTGACTCAGAGCTTCTACACTGGATTAGTTCGCCCAATGTAGCCTGTATGGAATCTCTGTGTGTGAGGTCGAAGAGGCAGGGAGGACAAAGGGACAAAATGTGAGAGACCACGATTTCCTTTGCGCCCAGTGTTTGTCCTCCTTGATGCTCTTTCTGACTTCCTCCAGCCTCTTGTTCATCTTCTTAGAACTTTTTAGTGTGAGTTGGGTGAGAGTTTCCAGAGCGGATTGGTATTCCCTGCAGCCATCCATACACACCTTGTGTTAGGGCATTAGCTACAATCACTGGTGTTACCACTCTTCCCACTTTTACTCCATGGTTCCTGTTTCCATTCATCCTTCCATCCTCTCCTTTCCTACCTCTGAGCTTTGGCCTTAGACAAATGCTGCCCTCATTCTTATTCAAGCCCCTTGATATCTTTGAGCTCAGGAAAACAAGAATCCGAGAATTGTAGAGGACTGGGGGGTTTTAGGGTTAGCCCCTTGCTTTTCAGGGACATGGAGACTCCAGGAAAGACAGTGTAGAGGTCTCCCTGAAGACAGTGGCCACAGCAATGGACCCAGATGGGCCAGTGAAGGCAACACAGGACCAGGCAGTGCTTTATTCTGTTGCACAGAGAGTCCTGGTGTATCAGAGCCAACTCAACAGTAATTAACAACATCTACAAACTAAGGCCACCTATGGAGCCAATTACCCGCGTTTCCTGACTGCATGCCAGGGCTCTGTTCTTCACATCCATCCATCCATCCATCCATCTAGCCATTCATCTGCTCATCAACAAGTAATTATTGAGCCAACCGAATGAACAGAGCTGGAGACACGGTGGTGACCAGAAACGGGTGCCTGCCAATGTAGAGTTTACCCTTCAGTGGGCGAGACACCAATAAACAAACAAATAGATCGTCGAGAAGATAATTCCATGTAGGAGATAAGTATTATGCTGAGAATTAGACTGAGGCTAGAGAATTAGTGAGGGACAACTTTAGAGGTGGTGGTGGTGTTAAGAGGTTTCTTGAAGGAGAAGACATTGAAGCTGAGAGGTGGAGCCTGAGGAAGGTTCCAGGCTGAGGGAAGAACTTGAGCTTGGGGAGGAGGCAGAGATTCACCAGGAATAATGGCAGAACAGCAATAAGGCCAAGGTAACAGGAACACTGGCTAACGAACTGCTTGGTACGTGAGGAGGGTGGGAAATAGGTCGTGGGTGGGGAAGATAGGCCCAGACTCTGTAGGGCTTTCTGGACCCCAGTGAGGCACTAGCGTCTTGTTCCGAGAGTCAGGCCCTATGTCCCTCTCTCTTTGATGGCAGCAGGGAAAACTTTGTCCCCAAGCCTGGCTCTGTCTCCCCACGTCACTCAGCCTCTCCTTCCACTCCTCTCTGTGCATAAACTAGAGCAGCTGGCAGATGTGGGTGGTCTCCCAGGCTCTGCCAGTTTCTTTCTCTGAGAACTAGACCAAAGGACTATTAATTAAGCGGGGAGCCAGACAGCTGAAGTGCCACATGGGGCTGGGACGCATCAGCAGGGAGACTGGGGCTGTACAGAGGGGTGTGGCCTGCAGTGAACAAGAGGATGGTTGTTGTTTCCACATCTGCTGGTGATGGCAAGGAGCACTGAACTGGGAGACTCGAAAAAATTCTAGTCCATGCTGTGTGCCCTTGAGCGAGTCCTTGCCCCTGGCTTTCCCCAAAAGCAAAATAGGAGCAATTGAAACAACCCTTACCTTCCAACCATACTGGATGGTTAGGAATTCCAGGAAATGGGGGTTCGATGGTTAACATTTGTGGAGCCTTTCTTAAGCACCAGGCATTGCATTAAATGCCGTATGGTTGAGCTAACCTGCCAATCCTTTGAGATTGCTCTTGGGCTCACAGATGTCAAGTGCATCCTCTACTCCTTGATCAGCAACAGTCTCCCTGCCCCACTGAGTTGCAGTTTCTGGTGATTCCTGAGCTGACCTGGAGCGGCCCAGAAGGCGGGCAGGGGAGGAGTATGCTTTGTCCCCATTTCTACAAGCTCTGTCCTGGCAGCTGTATCTAGCCAGCGCCAGGCACCTTTAGAGCAGCTGCCTCTCTGATTCCCTCCCTCTCTGTTGTATCAGCACGCCGCTGCCAAAGCCAGGTCAGCTGCTACCACCCTCCACACCTCCAACACCATCAGAAAAACCATTAGCAGCTCCTAACAGCCAGAACTTGGCCTCACTCACCTCACTGAACAGGCTGCAGAGAATACCTGTGAGGACTGCTCTCATCCCTGAGCTCCTACTCTTCTCAGATTCCCCCAAGCCTTGGGTGTGTAGAACGAGCAGGAGTCCAGAGACTGAGGATGAAGGCCTAGCCCTCTACTCTCTGGTGTATGGATGTGTTACTTCAACTTTCTCAGTCTCAGTCTCCTCAACGGCCAAATGGGAAGAATAGGTTACCATCCTAGCTAAAGAGATTTTTTTTGTGTGAAAATAACAGTGGTGGTAGAGCTATGAGACTCAATATAAATTGTCAATAGTGTACACTCTCTCAGGGAGGTGCAAAAGATCATGGTAATATAATCTGTCCTCCTTACTGCAAAGATAGACCCTTATGGAATCAAGAAGTAAAGCTCTTCTCTCCATCTCTCCATCCTCCCACCCATCCTTCCATCCACCTATCCACTCATCCATTCATCTATCCATCCATTCGTCCAACAATTTACTCAAGCACTCTTCATTTTATTCATCTATCATTTCATCTTATCGCTCATCCATCCACCCACCCACCACCCAAATTCATCATTTATCTATTCATCATCCATCCATCCATCTACTCTGACAGTTAGCCAGTCAGCTATTCATCTGTTCTATTCAAACACACACCTACCCTAAAATTTGCTAATCCACTCATCTGCTCCATCCATCTAGTTCTTTATTGTGCACCTGACTTAATCATCATGTCAGTCATTATGTAGGGCAAAGTCAGAAATACAATAATTAATAGTAACAGTAGCATACGTTTACTAGGTACTTATTCTTCCTATACATTTTACATGTATTATTTACTCTTTAACACTACCCTAAAAAGTATTTGTTAGTAAACACATTTCCTTAAGTAACATGCCTGAGATAGTTCTACATCCTGTAATGTGTGAATAAAGTAAATCAAAGTCCTGCTCACAGGAAGCTTAAATTCTGGTGGTGGAGCTGGGACAATATGTATGTGTTCAGGTGGAGAGAAAGTGCTCTGTGCTTGAAACCAAACCAAGACAGTGGGGAGGAGGCCAGGAGGAAGAGGCTGCACCAGAAAGGGAAGGACCTTGTGGGAAGAAGGCAAATGGGCAGAGACTCGATCGAAAGAAGAATCAAGGAAGAGAGGACAGATTGTGTAAAGCTTAGAGGTGGGCCTCAGCTTGGCTTGTTTAAGGAAGAATAAAAATGGTACAAGATGGATTGACACGGTGACTGTACTCAGAGATGGTGAGGCTGGTACAGGAAGGGCAAGGATGAGATTTGTTGTTCTTAGGGTCTGAGTTGTAGCGGACTCAGTAATACCTAACAAGAAGGGCACTGTGACGAGAGCCGATTGTGTAGTGGAGAGTTTGTGGATGATGAGGGGTAAGGTGTTGTGATTTGGGTTTAAATGGCCTGTTGAACTGTGGGTTTGGGCTTTTTTCCCTTTTCTGATTTTACTCCATATCTTTTTAGTTGTAATAGAATTTGCATACAGGGAACCACACTATTCTTTTCCAGTGAAATCCTAGGGATTTTAATAATTGTAAACACCTGTGAAACCATCCTCTTAATAAAAATCAAGAACATTTCCATCACTTATGTTTGTTTCTCTTCTGTCCATTTCTGCTCCTTATAAGTAAACATTGCCCTTGTTTTTATGACCAGCAGTTTGTTTTGCTTTTTCTTGAATTTCAAGTAATTGGAACCATTTGGTATGCACTCTTTTATTTTGCTCAACATAATGTGTTTGAGATCTATCTGTGCTGTTGCATGTATCAGGACTCACTTCTATTGATGATAAGCAGTTCGTTGTATTACTAAACCACACATTTCTTCATTTTCCTAATAGTGGCTGGGCACTTACATTGCTTAAAAGTTTATGGTTATTATGGGTAATTGCTGCAATGGACATTGATTTTGCGGGCATATGTTTTCATTTCCCTTGAGTAAATACTTAGCAGCAGATTTTTCAGGTCATAGATAAGTGTATTTATAATTTTATAAGAAACTGCCAAAATAGTTTTTTTTTCCCCCAAGAAGCCCAGGTGGCACAATGGTTAAGTGTTCAGCTGCTAACCAAAATGTTGGAAGTTCAAACCTACCTAGAGGCTGGGCAGGAAAAAGACCTGGTGTCATGCTTCCATAAATAGCAGGGCCAGCAAAACCCAATTGGGCAGCTCACCTCTATACATTGAGGTCACTATAAGTCAGAATTGATTTGATGGCACTTACCTACAACAGCAATACTGTTTTATCCCTC